TATCCAAGTCATCTGATGACCAGGTGGTTTCCTCCAATGCGGGACAGCGACTGCGAACAAGGGGTGGTGCGTTAGACAACAGCTGGGTATACGCAATACGTGTAATAACCAGTGAAGAATTCGATGTGGTAACGAACTCTCCACCGAATCACTAGCAATGTTAGTCGGCTTACTGCAGTGTTGCATACACGCTCCCTACATCTAACTTGCGCACAAATACTTAAACATCAACGGTCGAATACTTCCACATGCCAATTTAGGATCTGGAAACCGTATAGACAACACTGACCAGAAAATGACGCAATCAATGGAACCTTTCGGTTCCAAGGAAACATCGCATCGAAATCAAAGGTGTTTCAGTTCTAAGTACAGTACTCGAGAAAAGAAAATGCCAGTGGCTACCCCTTTTATTATGCTACCATCATTCGTCACGCAACTATTCAGGCAGGAGAGGTAATTCATTATAAGGAATCCCCGACCACCAACTACCAGAGTTGATGTGGATGACACGCTGTCTTGTAGCATTACTCTGCAAGCTGAAGGTGCAAAGCCAATAACGAACGAATGCGCTTCGCCACTCCGAATCCCGGGGCTTAGGTTGTCGGTTTCCATCACTGAACAGCAGGTTTTCGTCACTAAGGGACTTTCCCCGTCTGCTATTCATCACCCTAAGGTGTGTACTAAAAAATAATAATCTTTATACAAAGAAAGTAGGTCCATAATTTGCAAGGAGGCGCAATACTGCTAGCCGAACCGAACCGAAGTAGGTGAACTTTCTTGGGGAATATACAACCGGAGCCTTGGACTAGCCAAACCCGATTCGCACCGCAGTGGGGTGGTGTGTTAAAATCGCGGATTCGAAAAAGCAAAAACGTACTCGAAATCGCACAGCTTTTATCCCTCTCTCTCTCTGTCCATCCAATATATATATATATACTGCAGATAAATACAGTGCAATTTTCAGTATTTCCTCAACGACGAAATTGGACAGGAATGGCGAAATAACGCACCCCTGACGAACACGGCTGCTGGGTTCGAACAGTTCGCACAGCTCACCGTCGATTTTTACATTATCGGAAATATGCGAGGATAGTGATCTAAATAGGTTTGCTTCTGTGGATTTCCTCAGAGCGAGGAAGAGAACCCATTTGGTCTTCGCGGTCAACTGAGTTCAAGATTCTTTTCAGGTCAAGAAATACTGCAATCGTCGGTCGATCATGGGCTTGGGTTAGATCGCAAACCTTCAGACAATCTTCATATGCACACTATATACTCGTACATCATCTGGACGAAATTTTCATCAGGGTGCAGTGGTTATTGCCACTGTGGCATCTCAGCTCAATGCTAGTGATACTCCCCTTTCTACGTTCATTGGAATATCTCTAGTTGTAAGATAAGTCCGTTTCAGGGAGTTTCGTAAGAATACGATACACTGCGGTAGTGGACCGCGATCACCACATCGCAGCAGTGTTTAGAAGTAGAGAGCGCTAGCCAAGTAAAACCCCACCGCGTCCCCAAACAATACCGCTAATCGTCTACCACCGCTAGGCTAGTATACCTTTATTATTCACAGTTAAGCACCACACTGGTGACCGATCCACTATTTGCGACATGAAAACGCGCCCGGCGGCATATGCTCCGATGATGGCTATTGCATTTCCGTGGGCAACAGTCAACATTGTGCTGATTTAGACATACCATTGACACACAAATGCATGCATACGAACCACCTTCACTTCAAAGTAACTTGGGGTCACACACGCATGAGTGTGGATGCATGCATGTAAACTGTAGCACACATGAATAGGTACACATGAAGGGCACAACCGCGGATAAACAGGAAGAGCAAGTGTGTACACAGACACACGAAAGCATAACACTCCCCAGTGTGCACAATGTGAAACCAATTATTTGCACAATCTATTGATCAGTTGACCACTGTTCTGCTCTCGTCCACTCAGACTGCTGATTGCGTTTGGACCAAGCCAGCATTCCATTTCAGTCACGAAAATACACATGCACAAGTGGCTCGAACTCGGTAGCCGCTCGTTCTTACGACGCCTTGGAAACATATGGGTCGTATATAGATTATTTCACACGAAAACAAATATTACACTTGAACAGAGGTCGTGATTCAAGAGGACTGTTTCATAGTCACCACAGTCATCAAGTCGCGTGAAAAGTAAACAAATGCATGGGATGAAAAGGAGAGAAGGAAACTAAAACCCTACAAGCCACGCACATCTTCAAATATTTTGACCAGCTAAGAAATGACAGTAACACATTTGTTGTTGGTTCATTACCAAGTCGCTCGTCTTTTGCTCCGACACCTAAGAGGTGACCTTAAAGGTTCCGTCTGAATTAGGGAGATAATCACCTCTATCTTTAAGTTCTGTATTTGTTCATTCATTCTCTGTAGTCAACCCTCGAGCGTTCCACTGCGACCAGTTTGTTCTAGCAGTCTTTCATGCTTCCATCAGGAATTCCTCATCCATCTCCGGCGCTTATTTATTTTGAACGATCTACTTTGCACAAGACAAACTCCACTAACTGCTGTCATTGAAATGCGGTGGAAATGTTTATGATAACCGACAAAGAGCACTGGACAGCTGTTTCGTCCTGTTTGAGACTCGTCAGCAGTGCATACTTTTTGCTTGTCCCTGTCAGAACTCGAACCGCGAACCTTCGGGGTTGAGACTTCAAACCCTT